AATCACCACAACCTACTTATTTTAGGTGTTTCTTGAAGTGAAGTGAAGTGAAAGTGTTGCATGCCAAACGGGGTCAAAAAATTCTTTTGTGAAGAGCCCACAGGTCTAACAGCAAATTTCGGGTGGAGATGACCAGCACGGGCGTGCGCATGTCGTAGCGCCCCGTGCACACCCTGAACGTCACAGAAACGCGCACAAGCCGGCACTTTGGCCCACATAATTTTTGATTTTCTTACGCCTTCGGCAAAAAACATCCGGACTGTTTATCGTGCTGTTTATGCAACATACGCACACGAAACCCAGTGGTGCAGTGCTAGCCAGGGCAGAAGTTAGAAGACGTTTGTGCGCATAGACCGACAAGTTAAAACGGATCATTTCGAACGCTCATGCACCCAAACTTATCCAAAGCGTATGACACATCTTAGAAACACGATGCGAACGCATATGGATACTTTTATCCGAATGGAAACTTTCAAACTTCAGTTGAGCTTCATGCTGTAGGATTCAAGTTATCTCGGATTCGGTCAGTTATCGTGACCCCGGAAATTTGCCAAGAAAAGGCTTCGACCGGCTCCTGAGAGCCTTCACTTTATTAAGCGAAATCACTACTCAACTCGAATGTTATCAAAAAGACTGATCGCCATGTAATGCATAATATGAAGAGTTTTAAAGTCAAACCACAGTGTAGTGGCTGATCTTTTCCGGCATCATGTTGAAACTACGGTCTAAAGCGACTTACCCCATCCACCACTCGCCTGGCTGAGATACGTTGACGGCATATTTGCTATCGTGTCAGCCACACAACGACAAGCATTCACAAACTGCTTGAACGAACAGTGCAGTAGCCTAAAATTCACGATGCGAAATGAGAGCGAACAGAAGACTATTAGTTCCTATCTGTTAATACCGACTATGGATTTTCAGTGGGAATCCACATAAAGCCCACACACTCAGACAGGTATTTGCAGAGGTGGCACTTCAGATGCCATTCGAAAATTCTTTTGGGTTATGATATGTGGGAATCCACATAAAGCCCACACACTCAGACAGGTATTTGCAGAGGTGGCACTTCAGATGCCATTCGAAAAATACTTTGGGATTATGATATGAACACATACTTCCGAATCGATAACACCTTACAAAGACACCTCGTAAAGGACCTTATTGAACTGAAACACTGCACAAACTGCGTCTATCAGATTCCCTATGCAGAATGTCTGGCCAAATACATAGGCCAGGCAGCCAGGCAACTCCACCTACGAGTTATGGAGCGCAAACGAAATGCGCGTTTTCATCCAAGATACCGAATGAAGTTTTTTTTACGAAAAAAAGCTTGAATGTGACTCAGCCATTGCACTCCACGCACTCGAGTCAAGCCATCAAATCAGATTTAATGGTACACGTGTACGCCAGTCAGGATACAAGTCACACGTGGAACTGGAGTGTGCTGAAGCCTTAGGGATCAACACACAACCAACTTCATCAAACACAGTGATGGTGCCAGTTTGGACTTACTGCTCACCTTGGTAGGCAACAATGAGACATCACAACCAGCACAGCAAATAGAGACCGTTCCCGGTTCACTGTCCTATGCAAATGAAGCCTGTTGATTGGATAACCTTGGCTTGTGTTGACCTTCAACTGTACACCGCGAAATTCTGGGATGGTTGGTCTGAAGCTGACAGCTATTGGTTGATCGTGCCGCCATGTGACCTGCTGTAGGCTCTCCGCAGTCAGCCATTCCAAGTTGGGTCCAAAACGTTTACGCGGTTGGCGCGGTAGGCGTTAGTGACTGTGTTTCGTGCCGCCATGTGACCTGCTGTAGGCTCTGCATCGCCTCCCACTCCGCAGTCAGCCATTCCAAGTTGGATCCAAAACGTTTACGCGGTTGGCGCAGTAGGCGTTAGTGATTGTGTTCAGGACGTACAGACGGCGCTCAGTATTCGCACAATGGAATTGAATTTTCGAAAGCTACAATGTGCCCTGTTGGACTAAAAGCGACAGGCAATTGAGTTCAGGATGCGAGTTTAATTTTTTGAGCCCCATCTAGGTATCCTGGTGTACCAGCGACCATAGGAAGGTATTCCACCAGACTTTTCCGCCGGAGATATGATTGCTTCAGTGGACAGTGAAATTCGGTGAGCTGCAAGGATATGAACGTAGATTAGGATGGATTTTGGTTTGAGCGCACATCAATCAAAATACGATATTTTGGAGTAGAAAGTTTTATTCCACTCGCAAAGGTTTTTCAGCTAAGACCATTGTGCGGCTAATGGGCGCCCGTACAGACGGAGGCTGTTGGGTTCGTTCACGGTTGAGAAAAGTAAATTAGGCTAGCCGCTCTGTTGTGGACCCTTCAGCATGACCCTCACACTCGACTGCCGGTTGGATAGAGCTCTGCGTAACTTGATCTGAAACCAACTGCTTATCTCTGCAAGCACCGACGTTCAGCATTCGCACGATCAAATTGAATTTTCGAAAGCTACGTGTGTCTGATGGACTAAAGCGGACAGGTAGTTGAGTTTAGAGTATCAGTCGAAAATTTTGAGCCCCATCTGGGCATCCCGGGGTCTTAGCGATGCTGGGAAAGTATTCCACCAAACTTTTTCCGCCAGATGTATGATTTTGGCGCAAAACGTTTTATTCCCCTCCTAAAGATTCGCAGCCAAGAGCACTGTGCGGCTAACGGGCCCCCAAGCAGCTGGTAAATAGCATTCTGCAAGAAGCACGCAAATCTATTTATCTCACATTGACACATCATCGGCACACTAGAAGCGTACCCTCTTAAATTTCAAGTTATTGCTAAGTGAATTCCAGTTCTACCACATCTTATGTTTTTCACTATAAGGTGTTATATCTGCCAGTCTGCTGTATCTGACTGCTGACCCGTTTCAGTGCCTAGTGCCGGAGAAAAAAGGTTCACAGAAGGGAATACAACAACCACATTCCGAACAAGCGACTGCGGGCGCTTCAGTGCGTGCGAGTACGGTGGTACAACGGTTTCAAGCTATTTATTGGAGGGACACTGTCTGAACTTGGTCCAGTGCTGACGCACGCGTCTGGCTTTGGTACGGGGCTGTGACGTGCTGTATATTGCGGTGGGGGGGTGCCTGACCTTGACCAACGCTGACGCGCTGTCTGGGTTTGATACAAGGCTGTAACGCGCTGCATATTGAGGGGGCGTTGCCTGTCTGGTCAACATCTAGCGATGGTGAGGTTCTCAGTAGATTTCGGGCATTAATTGGTCGCTTTCAGGAATCTGGCCTTCCTGATATAAAGCCTCTAAATCAAATCAAGGTCTCCTAGGGTCGCTTTTGTGAGGTTCCGGGATTAAGTTCAAAGTCGATTTTAAAGAGCCGCGATAGCATTTTTCCCGTTTGTCGAAATGAAATTTGGGAATGAAAACCGATCTGGTGCACGCAAACCCGGGGAATCCAAGCTGCTTGCTCACCCATCAGGATATCCAGTGAGCGCTTTGCAGAGGGTATGGACGCAGGCCTCTTTCATTTGCACTTCATTGCATAAGTACTTCCACTCGCAACTTTCCCGTTGTTGCGCTTGTGAATTTGTTTACCTATGTGTATGGGAATAGAAAGCGAGAGCCTTTCCGCAAACGAGGAGAATGATCGAGATAGAAGTGTGAATCTTAACATCTTGATGAATGGCAAACGCAAGGAATCACATGACTCGAGTAAGTGAGTCAAATGGCTTCGTCTACCAGAGTTGATTCGACACAAAAGGTAGGCCGACAACTATACCAATAGCTCTGGCTTTGTTACGGACAGGTAGTCAAAGAGTCGTTCCACATGATGACCCACTCGAAGATAAACGAGTAGATGATCCAATCCGCCTGACTCATTCTAGCTTTGTTCTTAAGGCCTAAACATTCTGTTCTACCCAAGCGTTCAACAAGAGTGGATAGTATATTTGCGCACAGTTTCGTAGGGAAGTCAACAGATGCACTTACGAGGAGACGCACGTGGTACGCCAAAAGACCAACATGATCCGCAAGTTTACTTCCTTCGAGAAGGCGAAGGAAGCTCCGAATGAGGCGTACCTTGTTTGGTTGTGTACTGCAAAGTTTGATATGCGGTCTGTAAATAAAAAGTTAACACAGCCTCTATTTCAATGGCGTTTGAGAATGGTTTATGCAGTTGCAACAAACAGCCACCAACAGAACTAACTTCATTCGCAATGACCTTGACCTTGGATTTTGTCTACTCAGGCATGTGCGACTTCAACGTAAACTAGTGGACACTCCTTTTAATCAAAATAACGAGTGTAGCTTTTTCGTATGCCACGCAGCTCCATCGTTGGTATTGTACTAGTCCATCGGTATTCAGCCAGTCGGTTTTGTGCGTTGTTGGCGTAAGAGGTGAATGGAACCCCAAGTTCCTGGCACTTGAAATTTTGCTTGTCAATGTCACCCGGTTCACAGGTAGTAAATTTTATCCGTTTTGCTGACACTGAGATTAACTGTTTGGTCAATAGAAGGGCATATCCTTCGAGGATAAGGACAGAACTAATTCGCTTTGGTTTCGCACTATCCTGGAATTTCTCTACGAAACTGTGGACTTTGTTTAAGATGTTTTGGGTTTTGTTCACAATTTCTTGTTTAATTTCTTGTCCGTCTTTGCAACCGGTCAACCTCTCCTCTCTTATCACCAGGTTCACAGAGTATCTGCTAATCACCAAACGATGACTTTGGAGTTTTACAGGCGATAAGTAAAGAGTAGAAGTACTCTGAGCTCTGAACCGACTACTCCGGCTTTACGAAAACTAGCTTCTCGTCAGTAGCCCAACGTATGTCCTGCTAATCTGTTAACTACCGACTCTATTCTAACAATTCCTGTGATATTCGTATACTTTTTGACCTAATTCCTCCAGCGTTCCAAAGCCTTATCGCCACTTTGGAGTTTCGATTGAATCATAAAATACTATATTGTCCTATGGTGAACACGCTATATTTTCAAGTCCATTTCTCTGGTTTTTTTTTCTAGATTGCAACATCTGAATCGCCTCCAACGTATCCACCGAACATTGATGAGGCTATTGTGGACATTCTAGATGCCTGCTTTGCCAGACATGCACCGAGTAGACCTACAGCTTCTAGACTATTATCGTATCGTGCTTTCGCCCGTCTCACGGAATCCTTTTCTCCTTCAAAGTCTTCTGACGATCCTCGCGCTGTACCATCGTCCGGTAGGAAAGGTACTGTGACAACAGAAACAGGATTTAGTCCGGTCATTTCCAATACGAATCGGAAGTCTCGTTCTAAAAGCAGTCACACCGCCTTACCTCCATTACCGAGAAGCGCATCGATTTGTCCGAATGCTCTGACGCGCGTCGCGTAAAGAGCCGTGCTTGGTAAGTCAGTAGCGTCCTATTCGCTAAAGGACGCTGGATTCAGCTGTGTGCCTGTTTTGATAATACCGTTTTCCTGTGGATTTATGGAGGTAGACTTCAAGCATCACCGTGTGTATATCCATCGAAGAATCAACGACAATGATTCCTTCTGTCAGATACTACCATCGTTCGAAGCCAAATTACGTGCCTATTCCTTCCGAAACACTTGCAGATCGCTCTTTCTATTAAAGTTGCTTTGTTTTCGTTTGCAGCAATCCATATAGTGGATGACTTCAAGTGTACAATACTTTTTAGAACATGATATCTTTTACGCCCGTGTTGATGGATTATGTACGGTATTCCAATGAGTAAGTGGTAACCAGTCTGAATGCAACTCATGCAGAGATATGCACATGGGTTGCCGAACGGAATTCCCTTGTTGTTTCCACTGAACTACCTAGGCCCATAATTCGGTCTCAGATTCAGCAAACATCGATAACCAAAACCAACTCTTTAAACGGAAATGGCATTTGGTCTTCCTGACGTTGAATAAGACTAGTACGCCTTCACTGGTTTATCCGGGATTAGTTGCTTTATCCTCCGGTGATTTCTGAACTCACTCGATTGTTGTTTCAGTGTCTTACTACTACACCCAATTCTCCAAGACGTGCCGCTAGCCTGTTTCTGCCCCTCGTTGGAAGGGGACCGCCCTTGGAAGGGGCGACACTCATAGAGGACCACTTTTGGCTAGTTCTATGAAGATTTTGCCTGGGGTATGGAATTCAGAAAAGAGGCTATCTCTCATCCAAAGTCTGACCCTGCCTTCGTTCTGCGCTGTATCTTTGTATCCGCAACTCGGTTTTCCTTAGACTAACTTTAAGTTCACTTGATACTAGGATCCAATCCTTGTCGTTTTGATGAGCATGTATCACTGGAATTTTGATGTCTTTCGAGTGGTGGATACAGTGTAGGGTGCGCTTGCCTTCTCTAATCAGTTCACAGTGTAAAGCGTTCAGAACGAATGCAGTGCAGGAATTCGCAATTCGTACTATGGGTCTAATAGTGTGAGTGGCACCAGACACGAACGAAAGTCTACCCAAATCCTTAGGCTCTCAACCGCAGTTTACGGCAGGACCACTTTGATTTTCTGCATCAGCTTCATTGCAGGTGTATTGATGTCACATAGATATCCCAATAGGAAGCCGGAGATTCTCCAATGGCAATCATTTGTTGTTTCAATGTGAAGTTACAGCTTTACAGACATACAGGCTGTGATGTGAAATGCGGACTGTTACACAGCCCTGGGGACGGAACCCTGTCTGGATATTGTAGGATTTCTATCACAGCATCTTGAGACGCTTGTCGACATAGCTTAGCGGAAATTGCGGCGTGGTTACAACAGCTTTTCAGCGTAGACTGGTTTCGCTTACATGACGGAGTCTCAACTGAAAAAGTGGAAAATTTGCTCTGGTTGAACCTTCATGACCTCAGCATTACCCACAAACATGACCTCTTTGTTTGTAATGTCCGGAAGTCCTTGTTTCCTTGATAGCCATCTTCCGGACTCCATTCAGAGAAGATTAAGGTTCAGCATTGTTCTCTGTGTCCGGTCTAAAACAGTCACTTGCAACAGCTTTTTTCGTGGTGTGCATCAGTTCTGCGTATCAACAAACCACAGACAAGCCTTGTTGGTGACATTTCGCAAGCTGTTTTTCGCTACGCACAACAACCCATTGTTATTTAGAGTTCTTTCTTCCGAATATTGCAAGATCTCCATACATTTGGTCACGTTAATGCGGAACCAGGTCCTTTCGATTTGAAGTAGGGCGCTATTGTTTTCTTTATCTCTCCCGTTCTTGTGTAGTCAAGTCTTTAGACGCGCGCCTTCGCTGTGTCTAACCGACGACCGCAAATCCGACATAAGTGAGATAAAGGGGGACATCGCAGCTAAACTGGACATCGATTGAATATGGTCATCGTGATGTGGAAAGTACTAAACTGCAAACAAAAGATTACTCACCCGCTACAGTATTCCTCCCCACGGATAAGCTTCCATCACGCAGATGGCTCACTGCTCAGGAGGAACTATTTATTGTCATTTCCGACACGAATAAGCTGTTTCGCAGTACTGTGTCGTCCTCATTTTGTCAAGACACCTTTATAATGACGTATCCAACGTGTGGCAGAAGGCGCACATTAACGCCTTTCACAAAGAAGACAACCCTGGGTCGTATGTTTGCCATGTTCAACTCCCTTTGTTGTTCCTGCCGCCATTGTTGAAAGTTTTTTCACCCACATTCAGCGTAAAAAATGTCGCACGGCTAGGTAAAACATAAGCGTTAGTTCTGTGCTTGCGTAGATATTCACCTCCGGCTACTAAATTGGGTGGGTACACTGAGTAGGCGAGGGTTGATGCATGGCTGTAGTACGTTCAACACCGTATAGGTCATGAATAGCCGTTGCCTGACTTTGTAGTTGAAGCCAGTGGAATATGACCGCGGCGGAACTTGTATGGTTCCGTTTTTCTGAGCGAATGGCATTTTGGGAACAAAACGGTTTAGAACACCAAGAATTTCAAAATGATGAATGGTTGTGTGTAACCGACTTGAACAAGAATAAAAATATAACGGCTCAGAAGTTCTTTTCAAGGTCAGCATATTCATGGGATGGCTTGGTTTTCATGCTGCCTTATATTGGAGTCATGACGCTCTCCGTAGACTGTTTTCTTCATCCCTATTTCCATTCGTCACTGGATAGTTAAGAGGAAGACTGACTTGAAACTTGGCCCGTACCTGTGTGTGTGTGTGTGTTAGTTGATCAAAGCATCGTGCGGATTTCTAGATTTGCAATGGTCACTCAAGTATGAGAACAATGGTCATTTCTTTTCCACTATTGAGTCTCTGTTCTTGGATCTCTCCATCTGCTTTTTACATAGGGGTCCTAGTTTTGCTCATCCGAAACTTGTCTCTTTCACATCAACTTACGATCTGCCAACCTGTTGGGTAGTCATCGGATCACTCAGTTCTGAAGCAGAAAAGCCAGGGATCTGTTTTTTTCCTGGTCGCAATAGCAGTAATCATTTCGGCATAGTCGAAGTCCTACTTTGCGTGAGCCGAACTTATCACCTGTGTATTCTCCAACGCGTTCACCGGTTGATAGTCTTTTAGATGCTAAAATTACCACAAATGCAGGGTTTCATTCAGTTCCGAACAAGGCACAAGTTCCTTCAGGACAGCCTTACTCGGATGGCTTAAAAGAAAGAGTTAAATTGTCACGACGGTACCCGATTCGTGACCTGAAACACGAAGTGCTGCGTAGCCCTGGTAGTATCGGTGGAATTCTGTTGCTACACCATAAGATTACCCTGTGAACATTTTTTGATTCTTGCTGACCTAACTTGGAAGAAATAACGACTCGAAGGAATCTGACCACAAGGTTTCTGAAAACTCTTCTACAGTCCACAACCGGTTCTACCCTTCTTGGGATCCATCAGGTAGGTGAAGTCCCTGAGTGTCTGACAACGTTATGTTCGAATTGGGCCAAAATTGCACGAAACTCGCGAACGCACTGGTTAGCATGCCAATTTAGTTTTTACGGAGAATCAACTGAATTCCAGCTGAATGTCTCGTTCACGATATTCTACAATCAAATGTCGGCTTGTTCGCTGAGTTGGGCAATTTGATTGCAAACGTTTCATCACCCATCGAGGTGACATCATCAGTGCATTGTTTGGGAGCGTAACTCACCGCACTGGGGTTAGGCTTTTTAGCCGAAGGCTCTGGTTTATGACACTAATCGTCTTCCTGTGTAGTCCTGGGTGCCCTTGCAGTATCCCAGCCCACGCAAAGCCATGGATTACACAATTACCAACGATCTCATGCCATATAGGAACTCGCGGACTGTAACTACGAGTCAGATCGGAGGCGGTCGAAGAGTTTCGACCTGTCGCCTGCCAAGAAAGGCATTGTTTTCCGTGCCTTATTCGGAACCTGGAGATGGACAGAAGTTGACATTGCAGGAGGGAATGAAGAATGGTTTGGGTGCCGTTAGTGCTTTTCACCTTCCAAGCTGAGATTCACGTGACCCTCCCTGCGTTGTGCTGGTGACTATCAGGAAGGCCAGATTCCTGAAAGCAACTAATTAATGCCCGAAATCTACTGAGAACCTCACCATCGCTAGATGTTGACCAGACAGGCAACGCCCCCTCAATATGCAGCGCGTTACAGCCTTGTATCAAACCCAGACAGCGCGTCAGCGTTGGTCAAGGTCAGACAACTCCCTCCCCCCTCAGTATGCAACACGCCACAGCCTCGTGCCAAAAACAGACGCGTGCGTCAGCATTGGACCAAGTTCAGACAGTGTCCCTTCAATAAATAGCTTGACCGTTGTACTTTTGCACTCGTACGCACTCTCGCTCTCGTGCTCGTTTGTTCGGAAGATAGCTGTTGTGTTCCCTTCTGTGAGTCTTTTTTCCGGCATTAGGCACTGGAGCGGATCAGAAGTTAGATACAGCAAACTGGCGAATCAGCAGATATAATATATGGCTGCTAAAAGATGTCAGTTCATACCTAGATTGTCTGGCTGTGTTCGAGCCGCAGGAACCTCGGATTTTTATTTTAATCTAGCCTCAGATCCCTCGTGCTCCATTTCCTTCTTCTTTCTATTATAAGGCTCTATTTAAAATAAACTGACATGATTATAGGGCAATGAAAAATCAACGTTCTTATCTGGCTTTGCTGTCATTGATTGAGGGTAATTTTAAAACGTGACAGAAACAAGGAGTACCCGTGTCACCAGGTTATACACGGTGCACAAATCCAGTACGAACATGGGCATGCGCATTACGTTTTGTATAGCAGGGCCCCGATGTGTAACAACAGGGTGTAGTTAGTGATCTTCCCGTGATGAGGAAATCTGAGAACGCCTCGGTCTATACCTCAAGAGATATTTATCGTGTAACTAATACTGCGATTGTTTTATTATTCTCCCAATTAATATGCGTTTGCAAATAGACTACGTTTTCTTCTCAACCAAAAAAGGCTTTTTTGAGGCTAACTTATGTGAAATATGGCGAACAAATCTAGTGGACCGGAGAGTAGACCAACATGACCAAGTCCTGCGGATGTTCCTTATCCTAGGAATTTATTGTCCAGAACGGATATCAGTAAGATATAGTGGTCGTTGGCTTGTTTGCTGAGCTGGGTAATTTGATTGCAAACGTTTCATCACCAATCGAGGTGGCATCATCAGTGCGTTATTGGGGAACGTATTGGTTCGTAGCGGTGGGTTAGTGGTTGTGCTACGTACTACTACACTCCCCAATAACGCACTGATGATGCCACCTCGATTGGTGATGAAACGTTTGCAATCAAATTACCCAGCTCAGCGAACAAGCCAACGACCATCATCTACGCTACCTTAGCGTAGGATATTTTAATTGTTTCTCAGCCTCAGTAACGGGGTTGGAATTTGATGTATTGTAAAACTCGCTTATGGTTGCTTTTTGCTCCAAAACGAATGGTGATTTTTAACTGAGAATGAGATGCAACTGGAAATAGTTACTTTGCGACATTAGCGGAGGTGCTATCGATCCAAAATCATCGAACTTTGATGCAGTTGGACTGAAATGCATTTGGTTGTTATAGATTGTGCTCTGGTTTCCTCTCACTCGTATCATTCACCTTAGCTGCACTGCATGATTCCACGTTGACAGATATCGCACACATCCATTTTAGGCCTATCACATCAAAAACCCTACCAACCAATCGTCTCTGATTCCATCAACGCAAGATGGACCAAGTCGCATGGAGCCGCATTGACATTCGCAACTTCCGTCCGATTAAATAAACGTTTATGTATATTTAGGCTGTTTTGTATTCTACGCCCTTTTGTTTTAGTTGCCTCAATATTCCCTGATCTATTATCATGACAATCTTTTCACGCTGTGCGACCTATGCACTTGCTCCTTTCAATCCCATGGGATTCGTATGATATTCCTATTTTTCCCGAGTTATCCCTTTCGGCTTTCCATGAGTTTTTTTCTATGAATGATATCCAAACCTTTGGGCTACTTTCAAGAAATTTTGTGCCTACTAATCTCGTGTGGATAGGATTTTTTTGCATAAAAATCAGGTTTAATGCACTCCTCTTTGTGTTACACGGCCTTACGGTAGGTATTAAAGTCAGCAATCCCCCCACCCGCATAAAAGGACATTTAATCCATGCAAGGACACAAGTACACCCAGGCTAACTGTCTGTTAACCCGTGATTTGAAGAGAGATGGTCAGGATAAGCAGTGGAGATGAACTACACTCATTTGCACACTAGCTTGGTTTTGACGGAAGACCTAAATGAATCTGCCTGATTATGTCATGTGTGACGCACTGTCAATGGAAATGTGCTACACAGTTGGCTGAACTGGGGATGGACTGCTTCAGACATTCAAGCAGTGCTCAAGTATTTGGGTATATGAGCACATTCGGGCAAAGGAATGGAAAGGAGAACCAGTTTTGTGGCTATAGAGGCTAGGAGAGTTTGCCGGAGAAGGGCTTATCGAGGATAGACATTCTGGAGGCCGGAAGGAATGCTTGCTAACTTGAACGAGGATTTATGCTTTGAGTTGATGATCTAGGAAGAACGAAATCCACTTGATTTTGAGTCGGTTGAGTTGCTTTTCGTTCGCCTATCCTCACTCACACCTTGTTCCTATCGCTGTTGACGCTGATGTTAAAGGCAACGAGATTTTGATTTAGCTGACTGGCTGCTGCCAGTTGTGAATATTGAGATGAACGATGCGCGATCGAGCCATTTGGGAATCCTTGGATAAGGAGGATGGAGGAGGGCCAGTTAGTGTCATGAAGCAGAAACGGGTCGGGAACAGTATGGAACTTTGAAACACGTCCATATTGAAGTCCCCTGTGTTAGAGTGCACCGCTACCGTGTTTAGCAGTCTTTTCCAGTTAAGAATGTCCTAAAGAACAGCTTTGGCTTTACAAAGCGAGTCCACGATCGAGGACCAGAAGTGTGTCATTATTGACGGAGAGGCCACCTGTTAGTTTTCTTCGGAATCCTCTTAGTAATCAGTGCGGTGTTTACAGCTAGGCTTGATGACGATAGATTACATTACTGTCTATAAAAAAGAGAAACGGGTCAATAATTGTTTGAATTGGGTGATCCAGCTCGCTTGAAGCTGTGAAGCACCTTCAAATTTTACTACCCGGAGGGCAGTACAAGAGTTGCAATAGAACAGAAACGTTTGACGGCAATAGTTGCAACGGTGTTGTATGTACGATTTTTTCAAAAGAATCCAGACGACTGCGTCTGGCATTTGTGTTTTGAAAGCGTTAACAAAGTTTATAGTCTGACGAACTTACCTAATGGTAAATTTGAGTGGGTAAGTAGAAATGAGGCGTTCAAAAAATGTTGAGCGGAACTAATGAACAAAAGAGTCTGAGGGAAACCGCTATGCGAATACGCCAGCCTTGTCTTCATGGGTGCTGCTAGTCGGGCGATATTGGGGGAAAAGAAATAGGACGGAAATTACGGGTAACATATGGAGCGAGTCCTGAAAAGGAGCGGGCTTCCAATGGAATGGGAGGTAGATTCTCACCCTTTTGTTTCACGAAGTTTGACTTGGCTTTATTCCCGTTGGCTTTTCAGGCATTTCTCGCGGCAAGGAAGCAGGTATGAAGACACGAAAAGTGATTACGTAGACAGTAGCTTGGTAATTTATTCTTTTCCTTTACCACTCGCAGACACGCATGCTGTGGTAGTTCTAGAAAAGACACTGTCAAATTTTAAACAATCCGTTTACGAAGGATACGGCAGTCGCTGGAACTTCATTTTTTTTCCGAAGACGATGATGAATCTTTCGATTTTACAGCGTCTCAAAATTCACGTACTTTTAAGATATTCTGCGTGAAGGAGGGTGAAAAAAGTTGGACGGCGACACAATAAAGCACACTGTTTGGAAAAGTCGAGAAGCCGTATAGTGCTGGAGGTATGAAAAGTTTAAAGGTATGGGCTCTCCCTGAGTCTCTATCAAGTATACGGGTTGGAAAACGAATAAGTTGCAAGCAGATGGAAAGCTCATGCTGCTTTGCCAGCTGGATCTAGAACTGAAAAAAACCTAAAGGCCAATAATCAAGCTGTCTTCCGAGAATCACGGATGTAAGCAAGATGTCATCTTTGAGACGAAAATGTTGAGGTAAGATTAAGATTCGGAGGTGATAGGTTTCAGAGCCAGGAAAAATCTGGGTACGGGTATTCTGATGCGTGAAGAGAGAAAATAATGTGTACAGTTAGTAATGCAATAGATCTTGGTTGAATGGTCCATCCGATATCCAAAAGTCAGAGAGAGGGATGAATCGATTGTTCATTAGTTGTATGAAAAGAAAAAAACAGGCGGCCTAACTCACTCAATTTATCGGTAGTATGTATGATATTTGGGATTTCCTGCTGTACATGAATGCACTCTTGGGCGGAAAGCTGAAATCGCTGTAGGGCTGTCACATCTTTATTCGGATCGTCAGCAGTGCGCATCTCGCGAATTTAAAGAAGACTTAGAACTCACAACCTCCAAACCAGTGACCGAAATCTTCACCGTTCGGCCACCACAGATTACCAGTGCGACTGACTCGTTTTTAGACATGATGTGGCTCCGGTCTTCAACCACTCAATCCACAGCACGTGGCCACGCGCTGACTGGTTCCACAGGTGACGAGTTCTCAGGTGGAGGGTTCGCTAGTCGTGTGACATACTCTTCCTCCTAAGCTGCCTATAGTTAGGCGGGAGGGTGGCTATCAATAACAAACCGTCCTTCTAAAAAGTGATCGCTCTGAAGAATTTTCCGATTATAGACGTAATACACTACTCATGAGGTTGCTGAAAGTTCTGCCCATGACCGGTTTCTCCCCTCTGGGGGTTTATCATGTAGGCGCAGTCCCCGGGTTTCCGTCAACCTTATGTTCTACTTGAAACTAAATTGCACGAAATTAGCGAAATACACTCATTTACAAACAAATTTGGTTTTGTGAGAGACTCACCTAGAAGCTAGCTGAATCTCTCGTTTATGCTGGGCTACGACTTGGTTTCAATTAGAACACAAGGTTGACGAAAACTCGGGTAGTAACGGAAAACACGAGTAGCGAGTACGACCATGTGACAGAGTCGGCTACGCTGGTCAATTGTTCGGATTATGTCAACACCCCCAGTAGCTAAGGTGCCAGCACGCGTCGATAACTGTGAAGGAATCAGTGCATACACTGCCTAGTTCGAAAAGCCAACAAGTCAACTGTTTTCGTTTAATCTGAATTTGCTGAGTTTACATGTGCTGTTTTTTCTATCCAACTAGGAGTATAAGCATGGCACAGGGGATTCCTTATAAGTTTAACTCCCGCACACTTATTTGAGTTGTTCCACTTTGTGCACTAAATACAAAACACGATTGAAGTCATATTAGAAATGAGAGCAGGTGCACATTAAACTAAAACATGGGTCTTAGTTTTCTTCCAGCCTGGTGCAAGCGTAAACTTATTCTCCACTTAGGCAGCAGGATGACAAGCACGAATATCCTTGATGCATAGACAGGTTGTGTCACAGAAGGCTTGCCGCAAAGGAGGTAGAATATCAGCTTCGCTTAGCTAGGTCACCGTGGATACAATCGTTGCAGGTAGACAGTTTTGATACGTTTATACAAGCAATCCCGAGATTCAGCGGCGCGCAGATACCTTTCTCTAGGTATATTTCACACGCAACGTTGGACGACCGAGGACATATTTTCGCTTGTTTCGCTTAGATACGCTATTCGACTCTGGAAGAAGCATCTCAGCTGGTCTACTTGTTAGGATAATAGCAATGAAACGTGACACAACACGTTGGAACCTGCACTTGGATAGATTACCCGTAGAATACTCAAAATAACTAAAAGGAAATGTCTAGTAACCTTTCAGATTTCTAAAAGTATCACATTTTAAAAATTTCGGGCAAAACTTTACGATTGACCGCCGTCTCGACCTGTCTGTACGTGTCAGCTCTTTGTCTAATCCGTTGCGTTGCTTACTAACTCGGTCACACGCTGGAAGAGTTTTAGCTCAGCCCACTGTGCTCTTTTCAAATAATATATATCAACCCCACCAACACAATCCGCATGCGTGCTTTTCCGCCGTTTGGCAGAATGCAATTAGGGTTTCCTTACCTGACCATATCTTTCAGTATGCCGAGTAGTCCATTCGAATTTTAGCTCAGCTGTGCGGAACCTGTGACCTAGTTTGACGTCTGAATCGACTGGGCCTATCGGTCGTCAAGGTCACCTGCGTTCACGCCCTGTCGAAGTACTTGTTCTATGTGATTACTTAACCCTAAATCGTCCCACAGTTTGGATTTAAATATCAGTTTGGCACAGACGAATTAACTACCGATTGTGAACTGTGAAGCCGCTTCCGTGGTAAGGGAACCATAAACAGTCTCCATGTTTTCTGATCAGGCTGTATCGTCTCTCGTTTCCTGGTTGGTGCATTCAACAAGGTGCAGTTTATCCCCAAAACAGTCTGAAACCCTTTTTGTTCTTACGTCTGTTTACCTACTCCGTTAGAGGTTGGTGATGTTTGCGCATTTGTGCCACACATTAATTACACCACGAAGTTTCTAAAAAGTCCTTATAGTATGGATTTCACACTAGTTTGACCACTAGTTTAACTCTAGACGTTTCCACCATGGCCATATGGATCGAACACACGGCACTTGGCTTTTCCACGCTTTGGTGGCCACTCGGCACCCCACGTATGTGGGCATCACAAGGTGCCTCGATGGATGCTTGTTGCTAGGACGCAACGTGCGGTCCCCGTTTAGTCGCTAGCCTTATCAGCTGTAATCCAACTTTCGATCAGAAAAGTCGAGTGCTCTGCACGATGCAACATTAGTCGCGCGACTGAATTGCAAGTGTGTGGTGTTCAGACGTTTTGGGCAGATACCCCAGTCAATGAGGGAACTGCTCTTGCAGCAGTGGAAGACGAGAATGAGACATTTGCCACCAAATTTGGTACGAAAAGTTCAACAGACTGGGGGGAGGGTGACCTGCTTCGAGTACCCGATGATATGCTT